ATGGAGCTAAAACTCTAGTAATAATCAATAAGCATAACAAAGAAGTAACTGATGAAAAATGTTACAAGGTAAGAAGTGCCTAGAAAGAATTCAGAGCCAAATTCCTTGAAGGGGGTATGTGGTAGGCAGTTAGACAGACATGAGCAGAGGAAGGACATTGAGAAGGTCACCAGGGTGGAAAGTCCTGGTGCCTAGCAAGGGACAATTGTAGGGTGGGACCTCATCCCCAGGGTGACCTTTTCTCTCCTAGCATATCAATGATCATGAGGTCTGGACCCCCTTTCCTCCCTAGAGATAACATCTAGGCCTCAGTTGTAGTTCAGCTTCGGGCCCAGAAAAGCAACAAAACCAGACCAGCAACCCAATGGCTGACCTCAGGACCAATCAATCAGTGGAGACCAAGACCCTGAAAGGACACACCTGGAAAGCTGCTGAATATTCTATTGAGATCTTCCCCTGGGACCTCCCTTAAGATCTCCACCCTTAAAACCTTAGGAGGAGGACCCAGCAAGCTCTCTGTCCCAGGAGCTCACCAGAGCCTTTTCTTTTCCCTTTCCACAGCCCTTCCACTCTGGTGTTTTACCATTAGCTTCCTCACTCCCAAGCTCCAAGGGCCCTTCCTTTACCTCTATAATTTGTTTCCTAAGCCCCTTTCTTCTACGAATTATTTCTTCTACAAATTACTTCTTCTACCTCTGTGATTTTATAAATACATGCCTCTTATAGTTGGAGTCTTGGCTCTGAATTCTTTCCCATCCAGAACTCAAGTACCAAGGTTGCTGAGCCCAGGTCCAGTCTGATCCCATGGGTCTAACACCTGGTGCTGTTTCTGCTACCAACAACAGTTGCATTGCAGTTTTAGAGGGTGTGGTCAGGGTAGCTGACCCATAAATGCCAAAATGACACATAATGGACAAAATTGATAGAGGTGAGAAAGTTAATCCTGAGACTTCTGGGAAATAATGCTCCAGATAAAGAGAACAGCCAGCCCTGGCTTGAGAGTCATCCTGTGGACCAAAAGGTTGAGGTTTGATCCTGGTTGTGGGCTCAATCCCCAGTAGGGGGCTTGCGGATAGATGTCTCACTCTCACATCGATGTTTCTCTCCCTCTCCCTTCCTCTCTCTCTAAAAATCAATTAAAAAAATCATGAAAAAAGAAAAAGAACAGCCAGTGTAAAGGTCCAAAAGCAAGAACTTACTTACCCGTCATGTTCAAAGACTAGCAAGTTTAGGATGGAGAGAAATAAGAAAGCGAGAAAAAACTGTGTGAATAGCAGAACTGAAGTCAAAGGAGGAATGCAGGCCAATGTTCCTAGGTGATTCTAAGTACAGTTTTTTGCTTTTACTCTAAGTAAAACCAGCAACATTTGCAGAGCTTTGAGCAGTAGAGTGACATGTCTGCCTTCCATTTTCAAAAGACAATTATAATTGCTGTGAGGAGAGCAGGTTGTAGAGGGCAATGGTAGGGGTAGGGAGTCCATTTGGAGGTTACTACTGCAGTTAAGGAAAGAGGTAATGATTGCTTCAGCAAAGGTAATGATAGAAGAGGTGGTGAGAAGTGGGTAAATTCTGGGTATGTGTGAAGACAGTACCAACAGGGCTTGATATCGGATGTGGTGTGTGAGAGAGGGAGAAGCATGGTGGATGATTCCAAGATTTTTGGCCCGAACAGATGAAGGGATAAAACTGACATCAACTGAGATGGGAAAACTGAGAGTAGATTAGGTTTGGGCGGGGAAAGAGAAGTTCAGTTTTGGACAAGGTAAGTGACAAATGTCGAATAGGTGGTGATAGCAAGTAAGCAGTTAAACGTATGTTTGGAGTTCAGGAAAGAGAACAAGGTGGGGATATAATTTTAGAAGTTGGTAACAGAAATGGTGTTTACAGCTATGTGAGTGGATGAAATCTAGACTGAGGAGATGACCCAGAAGTGAACCATAGGGCACCCCGACATGAAGAAGAGAGAAGGGAACAGACCAGCAGAGCAGACTGAAAAGGAGCACACAATGAAACACAAGTTAAACTAGGAAGAGATTGTGTTACCCTGAAAGCCAAGGCATGACCCATTGTACAAATGCTGCTCACAAATTAGTAAAATGAGTATGGAAAATTCACTATTGGGTAGAGGGAGAAAAGTAAAGAATCTTAGCTGCTATATTTTAACAATATAGCACAGGTTAAAATATTAAAATAATAAAGATTACTATTTATTGTGTAGCTACTATTTGTGAAGCGCTGCACTGTATGCTTTACAATTATTAGTTTTACTTTTTCCCCATAATCCTAAAGCAGTAATTTTCAAACTTTTTCATTTCATGGCACACACAAACTAATTACTAAAATTCTACGGCACACCAAAAAATATATTGCCGATCAGTACCCTGACTAAACAGTCAGGTATTGCATGTTTTAAAAATTCTTATAGCACACCGGTTGAAAATCGCTGTCCTAAAGATAAGCATTATTTCCTCTTTAGAGATTTGGAAACCAAAACTCTGAAATACTAAGTGACCTGTAAAAGGTCCCACAGCTAATAAATGTTAAAGCCTAAACTGGAGCGCAGGCTTACTTTGATACTAATGCCAATTCTAGTACACCATGATACCTTCTGCAATCAGGAGAGGTTATATTAATACTAGAAAGGAAAGTAAAAATAAAAACTCAATGTTTTTTTAAAATCTTCTTCATAACAGATACTTATATGTAGGGGAAAAAACTATGAAGCTAAAAATATGACTTTTGTCACATTATAATTTATTTTTTAAAAAATAGCTGCCTAAAATAGGCTCCAGTCTATTTCTGCTTCACTCACCTTAAAAATTATTGTCAGCCCTGGGAGATGTGGCTCAGTTGGTTGGGCATCACCAGGTGCACCAAAAGGCTGCCGGTTCAATGCCCGTCAGGGCTGGTGCCGGGGCTGTGGGCCCAATCCCTGCTAGAGGGCACGCAGGAGGCAGCCAATTGATGTTTTGCTCTCACATAAGTGTTTTTCTCTCTCTCTCTCCCTCTCCCTTCGTTTCTCTCTAAAAATCAATGAAAATCTTTTAAAAAATTATTGTCATAATAATGGTCCTGAAACATTGTTTTCTTCATTACTGATGTAACCAAAACCTTTGGCTTCAAGTTCCAAGTCCTGAGCTTGGCTCTCCAGGTATTTGATCAACTGACCTGGCAGTTTGGAGCATGTGGTGGGCCTGTGTTCTGGCTTGAGGGATGGAATAGATATTACCTTTACTATATAAATAACATTGCATCATGAACAAAACCTTTATGATGCAAAGGCCTTATATCTACCAAGCTGGGCGAACTGTGTTGCTTCATAAAACGCCCCTTTCTCCTATTTCATGCTGAGACCAGGACACCTTGGGAAATCCTCCCTCTTTCCTCTCTCCCTCCCTCTCTTCCTTCTATCCTTCCTTTTTTTTTTTTTGATAATTATTGAGTCATACTATGGGCCAGGCACTCTCCTAGGCACCAAAGAGAGGGGATGAACCGGACAGATGAGCTCCTATCCTCTCAGCCTTATATTCAAGTGAGGGAGACACACAGAAGTAAAATTTTTTAAATGGTAAATTTGATGAGAAAAAGATATTGCTAGTGGTGGCTTGGGAACACATAAAATTCCTAGGAAAAACAGTCCTCTCTGTGGTGGGGAACACTTAGCATTCAGAAATTAAAGTTATTTCAGTTAGCACTTGGGAGTCAAGAGACTTAAAGAACTGTTTAACCAAAGGCAGAAGTACATCAGAGGCAAATTCCATATACCTCAAAGAATTGCCAGGAGCCACAAAGTCCTTGGTTTAAGCTTACTGTATTCAATGATCAGTGTTCTGGTCTATATATCCCTTTTTTGATTTGGTCATTGAGGTTAGAATTCAACACATTTTGTGCATTGCTCTAAGTTACCCCACACTTTAATATTCCCAACATAAAATTAGAACAGGTCTTACACAAACAAATCTTCTAAGAGACTGTCCTTTAGTATTAAATAATTTCCAGTTACCTTTTGAGATTCTCCAAAAGTAAATGTATGTACATACAAATACACATTTTGGGTGCTATAATTCATTCTTGGAGTGGTAAGGATTTAATTATAATAGCCAGGTCTATTTAACATTTGTGACTTATCTAATGATTCCAGTGAAGCTAAATTGAACTATCAGTTTTCTTAATATCCTTCAGGTTCCAAAACCTTGACTGAAGCTACATGATGAGGCTTTATCATATGTATTCTTTTTATACTTTTGTAATCATAGCAATAGTAAGATTAACACTAACAATAAAACTAATAAGATTGGGCTAGAAGGAGTTCTAAACTAATATGGATGGGTTTAGATATACTAGAAGTTCAACCTTTGATTCCAGGAAATTGAGAGAGTCCAAGGAAAATGCTTAGAGCAATAACTCACACCTTCTCTGATTATGACCTTAAGAAATTAAGGCTAATTTTAATCTTGGAAACAGGAAATTGTAATTATTTTTTTCTACTTACAAATATAGATGAAGTTTAAGTAGCTTCTGATGCAGTCTGTTCCAATAGGGATCACTCATCTCCCGTACCACCTACATAGCTCTTGAGTAGGAAAGTTAAAATAACATGACTTAGTTTCAGGGATGTGACATTGTATGCAAAGCTAAAATCAATTGACTCAGATCTATGAAGATAAAAATAAAGTGTATTGTGCACAAAGAGTGTGATGCAAATAGTAAAAATAGAACAACTTATGATCCTGGGGCCTTAAAATCATATTGAATGAAAAAATATATATATATAGTAAATATATTGAGATGTTGAAATCTCCACATATTTGAAAAAATGAAACGTATACATCAGTAAACACAAGGGGAGTATTGTAATTAATGGAAGAGGAGTACTGTCTTCATAGAGTTCTTAGTCTTTTAAAAATACCATAAACTTTTTTAATTACAAAAGAAATGCCAGAACCAGAAAAGGAATGGGTCAGTTGTTTTAGAGCAGGCCTGGTGGTAGTGGTAAGAAGTACCTTTTTCTTTTAAGACAGATCTTTAAAATGCTTAGCAGTGTACATCTTTCATTGCTTTGGCAATGAGTAAATCACTCATTCTAGTGCTTGCATTTGGCATCAGGCAGGTAGATAACCTGGGATTATTTGCTGAACTGAATAGAGTTGATCATCTAGTCAAATATCAGGTCAAGTGAGGGAAGAAATAGTCAAAGTGCTTGTTTATTAAAGCAAATATCAGTTAATGGTTAATTATTTGAGTTATAATATAGATATTTTATATATCTGCAAGGAAGCATACTAAGTTCATTCCTATTCAAGATTTCTATGATTTAATGAGTGGTTTCCCATTCAGACACAGCCACTAGTTCTAAACATTACTGGCACAATTGGTCTCAGTGTGTTCAACTTGATTGAATGTCTTTACAGGAAATAAAAAACAGAAGGTACTCCCTGTCACCTCACTAGGGCTGAAGAAAGCATTTAGAAATGGAAAGTAAAGGCACTTCCCTCACATTAACGAAATAAATTAATATTTTTACATAATATTAAAGTGAGTAGTGTTATATGAAACCCTTCCCTTTCAGGGAAAATTGAACTGGAGGCTATATTATTTCAGTGATTTCAAATTCACCATGTTCAAAACTAGGCCCCCACTAATGCAAAGCACAGACTGACTGACGCTGATGAAACACTGCTTTCACCCTGTTGTGTACCGTAAACTACATTCATCTCATTCCACTGCCACTCAGCTCAGAGTCTTGCCTTCTGCCAACTTTCACTGTCCCTCTACAGCCTTGTCCCACACACAATCCATACAGCCTTGTCCCACACACAATCCAAACAATTGTCTTATTAGCTCTGGAATTCAGAAAACTTGTCCTGGAGCTACTCTGCTCCATTTCCTTGCCCCTACCCTGACCTTTCCACCAACTCCTCCTCATAACTTTATAATCAAGCACATAAGCCACCAACAAAAATGGGTCCTATGTAAACACTCAGGGACTGGATTTTCAACTCCGTCTTTTGCCCTGTGGAAGTCCAGGGCACAAAGGAGATGCTCATTAAATATTGATGATCTGGTAACTTATTAATTATAATATGGGTTCAACTGTATTCTTCAAAAAGCCACATTCTCTGAAATTTACTACCTAGCGCAAGGTCTTGTACTCAATAATATTTAGTGTCTTTACTCCTTTAAACAAATATTTAAGATTTTCCAGTATCACCTAAGTAATTGCTGTGGTACTGTTGCAGCATGCCTCAGGGGACAAGGAATGCAATGTCCTTCTCACAGCTTCCACATACCCCTGTTCCCCTCTTCATGGACCATGGACTCATCCTGCAGCTGAGGGCTCACAGCTGAGTCACTCACTGGGAACTGCCACCAGCAGCTGCAGGAAAGTGTCTTACTCAAGATTATACACCCTCCCCCAAGGTAGTCCACGGCCAGGGACTACCTGATGTGCGAATAGAAAACCTCGATTTGTGAGAAATTTGAAGGACCAGTAGGATCTGCTAAAGCCTCAGTAGCACCCATATTTCAATCAGTTTCTTCCTCTGCCTTAGAAGCAGCTAAACCTTCTGTTTCCCGGGGACCCAACAGAATACATCTGTCTTCCCCACTAACCCATAAGGTTTTGATGGCAAGAACTGTATTTAACATCTTCAGCCTGTGTTAGGCACAACCCTTACAATAGATGGGGCCCTCAAATAGTATTTCTTTTTAAAAAAATGCTTTTATTGATTTTAGAGAGAAAGGGAGAGGAAGAGAGAAATATCAATTGGCTGCCTCCTGCACACCCCTTACTGGGGACTGAGCCCACAAACCGAGTATGTGCCCTGACCAGGACTTGAACAGGTGACCTCTTGGTGCATTGGAAGATGCCCAGCCAACTGAGCCACACCGGCCAGGGCTCAAATAGTATTTCTTATTCATTCACATGGAGTTAATCAATTAAAATGCATATTGGAAGGAGTAATTCTGCCAATTTAATAGGATTAAAGTGATACTGTTGTAGTGATCTGCTTATTATTTAACAAGAAGGGAGTGAAAGATGAGACCAAAAGATACAGACATGCCATTTACACAGCTTTGCCAAAAAGCTGCATTTAACATTCTCCAAGCCTGTTCCCCACTGATCAATGGGGGAAGGGACTAGACGAAAGGCAATTTAAATGCATGCCCAGTAAGGTCTGAGTGATGTGGAAGACTAATTGCCTGTCAATCACACCTGAAAAAATGAGTCAGTGGCCAGGACGGGCATGGCCAGTGCAAGCTCGAGAAATCTAAATATATATAAACTTCCAAACAAAGGAACTGCACAGGCTCTCTCTCTTGGCTCCAGGGTGCCTGGCTCCTGGGACTCCTGCTGCAGGGGGCTGTGCTCTCCTGAGGCCACATGGCACACGGCCATGCGGGCTCCACACATGGGCTAATGGACTTTAATCTGGCCTGAATGCTGAACCACACCCGGCTGCAACACGGAACAGAAGCTCTGGACACTGACCCTGTTTCCGACTCTGCTGAACACCCAGCTGCCCCTTTTCCAGGGCTGGCTTAAGGGGCAGAGGGCTTTGGAACCTGAACAATGTAACTTTATGAAAATAAAGCCTTCTTCCACGTACCATCCTTCTGTGGGGACTTCTAAAAATTCCCATTTCAGCTTTGCCCCAAGAAACTCGTTCCCCCAAATGACAGGGGAGTGTCATCCACTGGCAACAAAAGGACAGTGGTTACCAAGGGCAAGCATAAGGCCCTTGAACAGTAATCATCTGATTACTGTGGCGGCACCAGAATTTCAGCATAGGAGGGCCTTAGCCTGTGCCCTTGTAGTTGGAAAGGGCTTCGAACTTGAAAGTTGAAGCTGAGTTGGTAGGGCACTTTGGAGAATATTGAGGAAAGCCTCCAGTACCCATAATAAAGTGTGGTGGGAAGGGGAAGGGCATGCGGACAGGCTGAGAAGGTTCTGCTGATGCCTCCCCAAGGCATACCTTAATGTGCCCTCCAACAGTTTTTTAAAGCACAAATTCCTCTGCTCCATTCCACCACTGGGTCAGAATCCTTAGGGCTAAGCTAGGTTTTAGCAGCCAGACTGCGTTACCTCCTCCGCCGGCTGACTCCTAATGACCAGGCATGTGATATTTAGCTCGTGCCTAAGCCAACTGCATTTCTTTTCATTTTATCGTCCGTGTTAGGCCATTTCCCAGCTTACTAGAATTTTCAATATGTAGTGATCAGAAAAAGTACCCCCCAAAAACCAATCTCTACTGGTTTCTTTTCTTCTACTTATTAGAAGTGTATAGAAAGTATTTGATAAGGCAAAGTATTTAAACTCGGGTAAAAAGAGGTTTCTTTATTTTTATTTTAGGACATTCACTTTGTGATTTCTATCTACAATTCAAAACTGTTATAATTACTGGTAGTTAGGAGACTTCATACTTGCTAGGAATAAATCCGTATTATACTCTAAAGCATTATTCTTTCCCCACATGATCGTAATACAAAGCCATTCTGGAATTTATTTTTCCACCTTGCCATTACATGATATAAAAGACTTTCTTTTTTTTTTTCTCCCCAGTTGCCTTTTCCAACCTCCCCCTTCTCCCAAATGAATTGCCGCTTTTGGGTCACTTTGCTGCTGCCATCACTATAAAGAAAGAAACTTTAAAAGTCCTCATTGAAGAGCATTTAAACCACAGCATTTTTGCTAGGGCGGGTGGCAACTTTTTAATACTACTAAGCAAAGATAGTTGGATATGTCCCATTATAGAATGTTTCCTTCTGCTTTAAAAAACACACACACACAATAGTTAATTTTAAACTTTGGCCTCTGTATTTCTCTAGCAGGGATAACAGTGCTTTAGCCTTAGGAAGGATAGAAGAAAGGAAATGAAGAGAGCCCATGATGGCTGTTTGAGAACAGGGGTTCAACAGGAAGAAATTTGGAGTGAAGATGGAATCTAGTAGTCCTTGGGAAATCCAGAAAACTAGGCATGAAAGGTACCCTGGAGACACAGGCTCACAATTTGTTCCTCTTGTTCCTAAGGCATAAATATGAGCAGAACATAAAATGTTCTGCTTTCTTTATGCTCATGAAACCTCATTCCATTGGTTCCTGCCTGCTCGACCTGGAGACTTGGGGTTCCAGGCACATCATCTTACATTCTGCACCCCATAAACCATTCTCTGGGGAAAGTAGAACATCAGCTCTCCTCTAAGCATGCTCCCTTTGCTCCCACTTACAATATCTTTGTTCTTGATCTCCCCATCAGCCTGGAATGTTATATCTTCTTTACACCAATGTGAAACCCTGCAGTCTACAGTAAACCTCACCTCCTTTAACAAGTCTATCCTGATACTTCCTACTGCATGTGTTCTGACCCTTTCCTGAGCCTGTAGCATACTTGACACCTCTCTTAGAAGTGCACATAGTAGGCTATCTTGAATTATGGCTATATGTGATTTTTATCACCACCTGCCCGTGACTAACCCTCTTTGGGCCTAGACATGAGACATCACTCACTTCTATATCTCTTGCAGGCACTCTTACAACACCCTGCACACCAACAGCCCTCAAATGTCTTAGGC